CTTTCTTTCTTTCTTTCTTTCTTTCTTTCTTTCTTTCTTTCTTTCTTTCTTTCTTTCTTTCTTTCTTTCTTTCTTTCTCAGGATGTACCAAACTGGAGATTTTGCCACTCCTAATATTGTAGCAGTTTCTCAGATGTTTTTTTCTTCTGTTTTCGCAGCTTAAGAATAGCTCACCTGGATGAAGAGCTCCTTTGACCGTATGTTGTCTGTTCAAAGCAAAACCTCCCAAATGAAAGCACCACACATCAAATCAACTCCATTTCTTTTCTCTGCTTAATTAATAATGACATAATGAAGGAATTGCCCACACCTGTCCATTGAATAGCCTTTTAGCTCCTTTAAAAAAAACAGTGGCCCCTGTTACAGAGCTGAAAGGCCTAAACGCGTCATCCAGTTTGAATGTGGATACCCTCAAATGAAAGCTTAGAGTCTACACATTATGTCGGTGGAATACATGTATGTGTCAGTAAACAGGTTAAAAAAAAGAGCTTGTGTCAGTGTCTAAATATATATGGAGATGCAGTGTTCAGATAAACAATTCACTTGCCTTAAGGTGACTGTTGTTGTGATCTAGTGGTTTATAAATAAAAATGAATTGAATAAATATCATGTGTCTGTGTTTGATTATTATTAATGCAGTAAAAGTATATGATTAGACAAATGCAAATCAAAACATAATATGATTTGTTTTTTCAAAAGAAGGCAAGAACCTCAGCAAACACAGTAAACTCCCCCATAATACACTTTCCCTCTCCTCCTATATGTCCTAAATCCAGAGCCACATCCTCCTCCACTCTGGACATCTAATCCCCATAAGCCTGCATAATGCCCTGGCCAGGGTGAGCGAGTAGAGGAAGTGAAGAAAGGCAAGTTCAAGTTTAATGACCTTGCAAGTGGATTACAGGTCGGCTAGGGTTCAAAAACGGCTCTGCAGCCTTGACCACAGCCTGAGGACCAAAATCAGCTGACACAGAAAAGACAGGTTCACAAATCAGGACATATGTAAGTCAGGTTAAGGGCAGGGACATGTATGACCTCTGTACTGTGTACGTGAAGTTGCAGAGTGTTCCTCTGCCACTAGAGGGAAGCAGAGCCTTTCATTTTCTTCAGTCGTAGCTGAAGAAAGTGTGTTACTTGGCCTATGCTTCCTGGTGGGCTGATACAGCAGTGACCTGACCTAAAGTATCACAGAGGTGGATTAAGATGCCTCTGGTCAGAGGATTAACTAAAAGCTGGTCTGAAGCGTTTCCATGCAGCATCTTTGCAGCTCCATGTCCTTCTGTTATTGTTGCAGCAATTGTTGTTGTGATGTCTGAGTGACTGGGTGTAAACACAATGCAGGTCAGCGATAGTGAGCAGTGTAACTGCTTCACAACCTTTTCAGCATTTGTGTAGATCGTGATTTGCTTTTTGCATTGTTTTAAACTCCCACTCAGGTTCAAAACAGGCCCACTCTGAAACCACTCACATGTTTGAAAATGTGTTTGTGAGCAGACAACAAGCTTGCCTACTTGTAAGTCTGTTGCACAAGAACCAAAACCGCAACTCTGACCACTCACTTGCGATTTTGAACGTGTCCTCTTCCCCTGCTTGTGCCTGGCTGAGGGACTTTTTCCGAGCATCGGTGATACTCTAATTAAGCTACACTCAGCAACGTGATTGAAAGCGTTATACATGGAAAATGTCACCGATTGGTTCTGAGCTTCAGATGATTTTATCACATCAAAGCACTTCAAGCTCATAGACTTGCTGTCTAATGACATCAGGTGACACAGGAGAATCTTACATAATCACAATAGCACAAACCCACTCTAACATCTTAAGCCCAAACCTCAAGTGAGCAGCTGAAATTCAGAGAAGAGCTCTTGAACATCCTGCAAGAAGACTGAAAAACTATTTCTGAAGCCTGTTTAAAGAAACTGCAACCTTTCCTAGGACAGCTTAGGCTGTGACTATTTTTTTTGTTTGTTTATTGTGATTTACGTTTCTGTTTCCTTTTTCCCATTTTCCTAGCGTCATATACAGAAATGAGGGATTGCCCAAAACGTGTGCACAGTACTGTAGTTAGACAAGGAGTCTGGCTGACAACAGTAAAGGCTTTCCCTCATACAGGCCTGCACACTCTTCATTTTCCCAGCATACAAATACATGAAATGACTTTGTTTCACATGTGCATTTCCTATTGCTTTAAACATCTTTTATTTTACACTAAATATTTTTCCATGTTTCTAAACTCACGGGCATTTCATGAAATAAATATAGTGTAAAATCAGGTATGCATAAAAAGAATGGGTATGGTTTTGCAGAGGCATGGTAAATGGATTGATTCTTATATGGTGCTTTTCTACTCCCCCGGAGTACTCAAAGCGCTGTATACAACATGCCTCATTCACCTATTCACACCCACTCATACAAGCATTTCCTTCTATACTTAAATGCCTAAACATTCACACACATTCACACTCCGATGGACGGATTGAAAAGCAACTTGGGGTTAGTATCTTGCCCAAGGGTACTTGGCACGCAGACTGGGAAAGCCAAGGATCGAACCACCAACCTTCCAGTCAGTAGCTGATCTGCTCTACCACCTGAGGCACAGCCACCCCAATAACCCCATCTGCCCTAATACAGATGCCATCATGTAAGAAGCGATCTTATACAAATGTCTGTGTGGAAAGTATGTTACGACTTGCTAAATTAAGTCGTAACAAGCACCTCTGTCTTAACTCTGTCATTTCCTGTCCCTTCCAACAGCTCTCCATCCACTGCAGATATATTTCTAAAGGTCATGTTTCTCTGCACACATACGGAAATGTGAATCTGCCGTTGCCGTTCTTGTTTTTGGTTTTGATTTTTCTTACCCTTTGTAAGAGCCTTGAGAAAATGCCCCAAGGTTTTCAGGAAATGCATTTCGGGAACTGAAATGTGCTTCAGTTAAAGCTCGATGATTATGTTATACTTGCCTGTACTTGCACAATTCGTTTTGAGAATGTTTGGTAATCCCTAAATGTTTAGAATTCATGCAAAGAATGCATATAAAGCCGAAACTGCACTGTAATTACATTATGTTGTTTCCAATATTTGGGATTGTTAAACTGTTTCGTGACTTTTTGTAAAATTTATAAAATGTTACTGCTACCACTCTTACATCCGAGCATTGTAAGCTGTTATTGTCCATTTTTGTCCTTTGTAACTCAAATTCAGCACAACATATTTGTATTTATGTGCTCTACAAGTTATGTTGAGACTGTGTTAAGCTTTACTGCTAAAAAACATCTTAATAAAACATTTTGAAAAGCATGTACCTGGATTTAATCACACATCTTCTTTATCCATAATTCATGGTTTCTGTTGCTCTGACAATGCCACTGCATGATAGGCTAATCAAGCAAATAGTAAACATGGGAAGTGGACATAGCTGTGGTTAGAGTGAAGCTATGTCCCTTTTGTTTTCTTACTTTTGTAAAATTGTAAAAATTTTCCACAGGTAAGGTAGGGCTCACAGAAGTATTTCACACAGCTGGTGTTTCAGACTGTGCCAACCTACAATTCCTACATGCACATTCCCTGTAAGGTCATATGCTGCATTTGTGTGCATTTATTGGAGATATTTTCTGTAATTTGTTTAATTCTGTATGAAGTTATTATTATTATTATTATTATTATTATTATTATTATTATTATTATTATTATTATTATAGTTATTAAATTATTACATGTGGTAATAATTGTGCCAGCTGAGACATAAACCTTGCTGTGCCATCATTTTGGTTTAATTTCACTGTCAATCCATTTTCACTGGTTAATGTTTGTTGCCACAAGATAATCCTGAATGATGTTTTAACCTTCTGTCATTGCATTTACTCTGGTTTGCAGCTGTCTGTGCTTCTGTGTGGCTGGACCTGAGTTATTATTACTACAGCTAATGTTTACTACTTCTGTTACACCCTGTATTAGGTGTAAAAATCTTCTAAATGTATGCAATTCCATATAAACAACGCTTTACAACCATGTTCAGGAAGATAAACCAATTTATTCATCTGTTACAAAACAAGTGGAATTTCAGCAGTGTTATGCAGCTGTTGGTGCTTTTGTCTCCACCCCAGGGTGTGGTCTCTACTTCTTGCCCTTGGTTGGCACACCACGGAAGCAGCAGGTCAGAGCAGCTACCACCGCCATAAACTCCTCAAAGTCCACCACGCCATCTCCATCAAAATCAAGAGCTTTGACCAGGTCATCCACTGCTTTTTTGTCCTTTGCTCCCTGTGAAGACCAACAGAACACCAGTGCTGTAAGCTACAGTCTGCAAGCTGCCAAATAGGGCCTCACTTTTTAGTCGAATAAAAACAGTTAAAACTAAACAAAATGTTGTTGTTCAAGTTAAACAATCAGTCTGCAAATACCATTAGGCTGACACCTTTTGTTAAATTTTAAACATCACAACTTGTCGGAAACACTTTTAAAAACAACTAGAAGCATGCAGCTGCAGGATGATATGTCCTTACTGCTTTCATTTTGCAAGTTAACCACCAAAACCAATCACCAACACATGAATTTGTATATTTTGCAGCATATAGTAAAAACACAGGTATGCCCTTTGGGGTGTACATTACCGAGATCATTTCAGGCATTTCCTTTTCCAGCAACGTCTTGACTTCAGATTTGGACAGACTGTTCGGGTCGCCATCAGTTTTTGCATACTTTTCAAAGGTGTCGAGCATCATACACATGGACACCTGTAGCTGAGTCATGGTTCCTGGCTGATGGGTAGTTATTAAACAGGTAGAGAAAAAGAAATGGAAGGTCGACAGAGCAATACCTGTGCAGGCAGTGACGGAAAAGAGGAGATGCGGTTCTTTTTATACCTTTAAAAATGGGCTTGGCCACATTGGGAAGAAAAAACCTGTAAAGGTGTGGCAGTGTTTGCTAAAGTATGCTGCACATATCAGGTTTCATACTCTGAGAACACAACCTCATTCTCCCAGCGCCCAGTATGCACATACTGAAAGGCCATATGCAGCTTTAGTCATTTGCTAGTGGACTGTGTTGAAAATTAAATGAATATTTAATTGTTGATAAACATTGTGCTTTGGATATGAGTTTAACTTTTCTACCACTGCATTTCCTGTGTTTGGCATTTGTCTGTGCTTCCTCATATGGCTGGACTTAAGCCGCTAAAACCCATACCATTTTTAACCCTGTGTTTAAAAAAAAGTACACTGTGTAAATATCATTCTAGGTTATGCATTTTTATATTAAATCACAACTATGTGCAGGTAGATAAATCCCTTTATTCAGCTGTTACATAACAAGAGGCATTGCAGAGATAATAGGCAGTTGCTGCTGTTGTTCCCAGGGTGTGGTCACTACGCTCACTTCTTGCAAGGGCGGCCGTGGCAGACGCAGGTGATAGAAGCTACCAGCACCATGAACTCGTTGAAGTCGACCTCACCGTCTCCATTGAAGTCCAGCTCTTTGAACAACTTGTCCAGGTCTTCTTGATTCTGTGCTCCCTGTATAAATCAAAAGATTATGTCACTAGTGCTACATTTTCTAAACTGCCAAAAGTGTTGTTGTCAGTATCCTTTTTATTCAAATTGAGCCTTTTTCAAGATCACGTTGTTCCAGTTCGATGACAAACAACCCTGAGATGTATTTGATTGTCTTTACTTTTCAAAAAAATTGAAACACCGTATGAAAACATCAAAAAGCAAACAGCTGACTGTTTTACCAACCAAAACCGAGCACAGCCAGCTCTAGAGCTCACGATGCAAATTTTTTGTAATCATTCAGTGTCTTTATTGTACTTGAACTGCTACCATGAGTCAGGATGTTTTCTAACTTCATGATAAACTCTTGCATACAGTATATTTAGTTGATAAATATACTTAAATACATAATGTTATGTCAATTTAAGCCTATGTGCCTGATCCTCGCTGAGCAGACATCAGCACTGTACCCAGCGGTGACATGTACATGGCCCAGCACATGCGTGCAAGGAAAGAACAGTACCTTGAGCAGTCCAGGCAGCTCGCTTTCCAGCAGAGCCTTGACCTCGGCTTTTGTTAGGCTGTCCGGCTTTCCATCCTTTCCTGCATATGTATCAAAGACCTTCATCATGCAAGCCACGGACGTCTCCAGCTGTGTCATGATTGCTGTCTGACAGGTGGTTATTCAGGTAGAGAGGAAAAATTGGAGGTGGACAGAGCAGTAGCTGTACAGGGAATGAAGGATTAGAGAGGGGATTCTTTTTATACCTTTAAAAAAATAGGTTTGGCACCACTGATAAGACTAGCTTCTATTGCTGAGGTAGTGCTTCCTCAAATGTTTGACTCCAACTTAGTAAACACAACCTTGGACCTGCATCGCCCAATATTCGCATCACCTGAAAGGCCATATGCAGCTTTGGTCATTTACTTGTTGACTTAAGGCGAGGTGGATCTATTAACAGAACAACAAAGGTGATAAATTCTATGATTTAAAGCAGTAACTAAGCGATTGATTTATTATGCAAGCTGAGCTGCAAAGTCTGTTGTCGTTATCATCCAAAGACGATAATGAAACAAGTTTAAACCTGCTGTCAGTGCAGCATTTACTGTGGTTGGTGGCTGTCTGCGTGTCTATGTAGGGTCGGATTTAAACCACAATAGGAAAGTTACGAAAACTGAGTACACGCGGGGGGTGATCTGTTCTCTCTCATAAATGATGTTGTGGAAATTGTGCTCTCTTACAATACCGGTATATATATATATGCATGAAACATCAAAAGCATTTTTGTGGTCAGATAACATGTCACAACATGCCTCTTGCTTCATTATGTCAAACACAATGAGAAATAAAGTTCCTCATGCAGATTGGATGGCAAAGGAGGAATCAAAGATGATGGCGTTCAGTGGACCGAGTACCCGAGTCATACTTTCGAATTTCACTTTTTATTTTAAAAACAAAGCATGTGGATGTGGTGAAAGTGCAAGGGTGCAAGCTTGCAAGTAGAAGAAAGCTTCTGAGACTGTAAAAACCTGGCCATTCAGTAGCGGTTAACACGTTTTGGAGGGTACATCATGGCAAGCAGGCCAGGTCTAGTATCACACTGTAAGTTTGGTTTGTCCCTCTGAACCTGGCTGACTCAACAGGTCAAATATTTGCATTGCTTTCGTCCGTCTAGTACATGTTAATCACCGCTTTCTGATATTATCACAAACCCAAATGTGTTAATGCAAAGTAATGTGACACTAAAACTGATCTGTCTTGTAGCTGTTGGTATCACTTTCTGAGGCAGAGTTGTTTTAAGGGTGTAAAAAACACTGCAATTTTAATTTTACCTGAAAATGAAACCATTTTCTAAATATTTTCCAGTACAGCACATTTTGCAGCTTTGCCAAATGGTGTAGACTTTTCATATCACAGATTGTATATTGTCAGTACTCAGTGCTTCGTGGTGAAAACTAAGCTTGGTCTCATGGCTTCTGTTTCTATTGTGTCACTGTTTTTTTCACTGTGGTGAAAGGTGATAAAACATCTTTACGTGGCTCTCCATTTATAGGTTCTTTCCTCTTGCTCTTTTCTCCTTTTATATGCGTCTGCCATCTAAAGCAGCCAAATCCCTCAGCCTTAACGTGATGATTAAATTATTTGTGCGCAGCTGTTTAAATTTGCACCCTGAAAATGCTTTTTATTTTCCACCATGCGTAACTCTGTGTGTGAAACAAAAACTTGACAAATATTTTAGGTATTAAACAACAAATCCTGCAAATACATTTGAGTATACTGAGTATATTTCACTATGACATGAAAGAGATGCTAAGAGATAATATCTTTAATTTGCATGGCAGTTAGTTTTCCATGTATGGTAACCAAACTGATTTTGACTGTAAGCTGTAAAGCTCTGCGCTATTCATATGTGTTGTTGACAGGCAGTTTGACCTGGAGACATGCGAAACAATGCCAACTCTACAAACATGAAAGTGATTCTTGGAAATTCACCGTCAGGGGTTCCTATGAAAGGCGGTGCCTTGACTTTTGCTGTTTAAAAAGAATTTAGAGCGCCTTCCCTGGTTATTGTAAAATCATATATGGTATTATAACATTGTCATTATTTTTATAGAAGCTGAAGATGAGCACAATATCTTGAAATAGGAGTAAAAACGAACAGTGGTATATACAATATATAACATAAAATATGTTCAATGTGTGATGTACACTGGCATTATGCCAAAGTCAACAGTGTGCGTATACACACGATGCGGTGTATTGGGTGGAGTACTGGATAAACAGGTGCAGAGAACTAAAGTCTTAAGGCTGCAAACACAATGCATCAACACTTTATACAACTTATTGTGATACACACAAACAAAACATAATCTTTCACTTCAGGGTGGCTGTAGCAGGAAGGTTGGTGGCTCCCCCTAGTCTCCATGCCAAATATCCTTGTGTAAGATATTAACCCTAAGTTTCTCTCCGGTGTGTCTATTGGAGTATCAATGTATGTAAATGTTAGTAAGAAGTTGTTACGGTCACTGGGGGGACTCAAATGCAGGACTCCTTGCTCAAAGGAAGAACGGAGGGTTTTATTTACAAACACCAGGTGAAATGTGTGACAGTGACTCAGTGCTATATACAAGCATGCGGGGATCAGGGCCCCAGGGAATCCACGGGGAAAAACAGGGGAACACTCTCACTCCTCCTCAGTCTCTCTTGGCGTCTCACCAGTCATTTACTCCTCTCTCACACCAGAAACTCAGTAGGGAACAAGGGCAGGTCCAGGGGTACAGGTCAACAGAGATGGGTGGTAACGCGTTACTTGTAACTTGTAACTTGTTACTTGTTACTTGTAACTTGTTACTTGTAACGCATTACTGTAATCCGATTACTTTTTTCAAGTAACGAGTAAAGTAAGGGATGACTATTGCAAAAACGGTAATTAGATTACCGTTACTTTCCCGTAGGAACGCTGCGTTACTGCGTTACTAAAACCGTGATTTTTTTCCGAGAATGTCTCACGACAGTGACGTAAGCGAGTGCAGATCAACAATGGATCATATATCGAGTGCGGGAGAGAGTATGAGCGTGCAGCGTTTAAAGCGTGGAAGTACTGACCTTACTTTGAGTTTGATTCCATAAAAAGTGACAAAAACATTAGTGTCCGTTGTGCGTGGGAAGACAACTTCTTTTTACAGCGAAAAAAAACCCCTAAACTTCCAAGCAAGCACCGAGTGCGCTACGACGTAATGGGAAACTCACAGAGAAACTCGCGGATTCTTCAACTGACCGCGGCACACCTGCACCAGGGTAAACCTCCGCCTACCCCACTCCTGCTTTACAGGTGAAAATAGAGCAACAGGACCGCTAGTCTTTGATGTTATTTACTTTCTGCTGTGTTTTACTTGCATCTATTTGAAAGAGTGAGTGTAAACACACACAAAAAAAATATTTTAAGTGCTGGAATGTGCAGAAAATAGGTTTAAATATTAAACTAATTTATTCAAGTCAGAGAATGGTGCATATAATTAAATTTTTGCTTGATGCATAAAGTTAAAAGATTAAAACTAACAAAACAAGTTTTAAAAAGATACTTTTCCATTTGATTACATTCTGTATGATGAATTATGTAGAAAAAGTAGAATTGGGCTGAAAGATCTATCGATTTATCACCTCTTCAGGTTGTAAATCGTGTTTTTAAAAAGTAACTAAGTAATTAATTACTTTTGAAAATAAGTAATCAGTAAAGTAACGGGATTACTTTTTTGGGGAAGTAATCAGTAATTAGTTACTGATTACTTTTTTCAAGTAACTTGACCAACACTGCAGGTCAAGCAACGATCCAGCGAAGAGCAGTCTCGCTTCTTCCCTTTAGTAGAGGCCAGTTA